CTGTTTATGTCGTTGACAGTGTTTTGTTCTGAAATAATTGCTTGTCAGCATTATACTTGAATACAATTACTTAAATTATACTCCAGATGATGTATACAAGAGCTGAGTTCTTAGAAATAATTGTAACACCGCCGGCTAATAGAATTCGTGCGCAACTTTGTTTGGTAAATTGAATTTCCTGGAAAAGTGTTTTGTGCTTGTGGCTTTTTAAAATTAAAATCCTAGGTGCTGCTTTATTAGTACTGTACAATAGTACAATAAGGTGTTAACAGACCATTCCAGAGAAAAGAACAATTATTATACAATACGAGTACACGAAACAGCTTTGTTTTTTTTCTTTTTTGAAAGCATTGATACCTGCTATAGTACAACGGCCGAATCATTGTGAACATTTCAAGGTCTTATACTTTTATTTTTAGTAATAATCTTAAACGTAAGTGTTTTTTTAACACGGTATTTTATTCACGTTTTTATTATTTTTATTATGTTATTTAACTCGACACATAAGTATGTCTGGCGTTTTAAAATTACTTATTATACTCGCATTCAAAATACATCTCAAAGTACTTTTAAGTAGCCAATTCATCACTTTGAACAACGTTTGGTTTCATTTAGTTTCTTTACTTATTGAGAATTTACTCTCTATGATCATACATTATAATTGGGTATTTGTACACGTGCAGTATTGGAAACATTTCTATAATAAATCCACGTTTAAAAATGTATGATACTTTGATCATTCCGTTCACTGCACTGTGTTCATGTTTTTGAAGGTGTATTATAATAGAATCAGTTCACAGGGGTGACATAAATGATATTCCTTTTTAACGAATAACGTTTAGAGCTATTTTAGTTAAATATTACAAGGTAACATTGTTCTATTTATTTTATAGCATGTATGGGTCCTTCATTTCTATCGAAGAACCCAGTCGAAAATTATCCCAGTGTAAAAATACTATCTGGGCTTATAAACACAACAATTTTTGTTTTTATGTTCTTAATTGACGTTCCTAAAAATCCTAATAACAATAATCGCGTAGTCCGATGCTGCTTTAGAAGTCACATTATTTTAACAATCGTATCACGATTCATTTATTTATGTTTTTTCTCCTTTTAAACGACCATAATAACATTGTTTTAACGATTGTCCGCAATTAGAGTGAACGTGGCATTTCAGTTAAATTGTTCGATCGGGCGAATCGAATGTGTCGGATGCGCAAGTGGCGCTTTACCTAAATAAGATAAAGCAATGGCGGACGCAGCGTCGGGTTATAAATTATAATGCTTAATATTAATACGAAGGAGCCGAGTAAGCTATTATGACCGGGAGATAAACGATATCGTGAAAAATCTCAGTCGAACATTTAAATACAGAGAGTAAACATTTATCCTCGCAAAAGAACAAAGATTTTATTTATATAAAAAAAAAAATAAAAGAAAGTAATAATAATAACAATAAAGGGTATTCTAAAAAATATTAAAAATAATAATACCGCTGCCGCCGGTCCTAAGTAACTGTAATAAAAATCCAGAACAAAAATAACGTGGCCGTCGTCGTTGTCGTATCCTTGAAAATGCAAATTTTCCTTCGTAATCCCCTTCTCGGCCAATGGGTTTTTATTTTTAATTACTGCCAATTAGTCGTTTTTTAGCGTAGGCACATGGTGAGTTAAGCTTGGTAATTATGTGGACGCGCAGAAGCTGTATAATCTATATATAAAAAAACAACAAAACGGGCCAAAACGCAAACAATCTCTTGTTAAAAAAGAAAAAAAAATGTCGATTAATTCACCAATTAAAATGTTTAACAAAGGCAAAAAAATATAACAAAATAGTATTAATATAACTATATACAGAAAAACGGCTTTTGGTTTGGAAGTAATAATGTATTGGCAAAAGTGATTTTTATCGCAGATCTTATCGAAAAGCGTTCCAATGACAACTAAAAGAAAATCATTGAGTTGGAAAAAGCATTCATTTTTATAACATACATATTGTACTATGCTCCAAAAACAAAATTCAAAAATGCAAACTTTTTTATTTATTGTCTGATTATGTTCTCTAACATGAACCCAATAACTACTAACTTGATCATTATTTTCCCTACAGCAGCTACAGTCTTATACTGGTATCATTATTTTTGACATAAATGTTTCAAATCTGAAAATTTATTTCTCAAAATATATTTAACTACAATAAGTGTACGTACAATAAAAGTTACCTGCATAAAGATGGTTACAGAAATATGTGAATATTTTTTTAATGTAAGTTGACATATGAGTTTTGATTAACAAATTATTAAAAATTATAATTAGGTTATTATAAAACTATAATTGTATGAAATTTAATATAATTCATCCGACAATTTTTCTTTTACCGAATTTTTTTCTTAATTTAGGATATGGTATTGATATATTTTATGTATAGCTATAAATTAGAAAATATAATTATCAATTAAACATTATTTAAATATTTTAGCAACATTTTGTAGTAAATATCAAACTTCTTGGAAATTCAATTTTATACAGCAAAGTATAAAAAAACATCAATATATATTTACATACATGTACACTACTTATAGATATTAGTTAATTACAACTTTTTTAGACTTAATTTCAATTATTAATTCTTAAATTGCTCACAATAACTGTTTTAAAAGTATCAAAATCCTTTGCATTTTTCAAAAAATAGGACATTTGAAAATTTTAGTTTTAATAATTATAGTTTGATTAGTATATGTTTAAAAATTGTAAATTTTCAAGAAATTTGAGGAGCCTGGGAGTTATTTACTTTTTGTTAGCATAAATGTTTGGTGTCTATAAAAGGTTTCTTTTCTTCAGTACTTCTTTTCTCTATTCAATACGAACACTTAGCCTAAGCTAAAACTAGTTCAATACTCTCAAGGAGACGGTTACATTAGGAGAGGGTTTTATATTTTCCCCAACAACAAACGGCGGCCACTTCCGATTGCTTAACGGCCGTGGAGGAGAGGGATACTAACATTGTAGTCGAACGTCGCCATCATCACTACCACTAGAATGGCCTAAATAAAGCTATAAATGTACTGAAACCATGCACAATATGCCCTCCACATTTAAATTAGCATTGGCCCTTTGGCTGGTAAGTACGCTTTGAGTGTTTCGCACAATTGCCATTGTACCAAAGGTACGCTTACTCAACGATAGTGCTATAGCTATAGTTGTAGTAGAACCATGAAATGTATCCGATTTATAAATTTCCGGATTTTCTGAACATTACTTAGACACGCACATTTTACAGGTAACGAGTAATTATTAATATACGTTAAAAACCATTATTATACAATCTACTGACCCGAATGACTCGTAGAGTTTAATATGAGATATTCTAAAATATAAAGTATTGGTTTTTTAATGAAACCAAAAATAAATTCACTAAATAACAAGCATCTATTAAACCAAACTAAACTATCCAGCATATTACATAAAAATCAGTATTATTAATATTTTTAAGAAAAATGACTGAACTTAAATGGTTTACCAACAAGTTTACGCAATTCTATGGCTTAAATTTAATAGAAATGATTACAGTAACATAAAGCACAAACTATAAGAAACAAAACTATACAATTTGTGTATCAAATATTATTTTCATAATAATATGGCGTTAAAGCACAAATTCACAATTCCTTTATGGGTTTTCAAGTATTTAATAACATAAAAAGGTTTTTTTTCCAACTTTCTACTCACAAAAACAACAAACGTGGTTCTAGCAAATAATGTCCATTGACGTCATAATATATAGTATGAATCTCATAAATAACAAAGATCTGGGTATGTTTCTAACGCCAACACATATTAAAACCCGGGAAAACGGGATCGATTGAGCCTTTATCATATTGTAATGAAGTGAGGGTGGTCTTCTTTTCATTTACAATTCCGCATAATATTTCTGAAAGAACAAGAATGGTTGTGACGTGTTCTAATTGAATTTCATTAAGTTGAATTAAGTATAGTGATAAAATGAACGATGAAATTATAATTACTGTGTGAGTGATGCTGAAAATATAATTACTACGATTATGATTCCTTTAATTATAAATTAATTGCCAATCAATATTAAATAAATTTCCATATACAGTTATAAGGTTAATTAAAAATGGTTCTTTGGAGTGAATAGATTCATATTTCATAAGTACTTGCTCGTTTTATTTTTGTACTTTTGTGTCTAAAACCACGATGTCTCCTAAACTGCTGTACTGATTTATTCATGTAGCGAGCTTATAAATCATAAATCCTGACTCCTAAATTACCCATTAGATTAGAATAAATAGTACCTAAATGTTATTTTTGTAGCGACCACGTTCCTGTTTTAGCGAAATCCAAGAAGATTGAAAGAAAAGCTAATGCATAGGAAAACTAAAATATCAGGATGTCTTAGAAAAATTTAACAAAGAACCTAGTTAAAACAAACAAATTAGCAAAATAAGGTTAAGAAAAACTGACAAATGCATCCAAGAAGTCGTGGATTGTATAGAGAATTTTTTTTTTTTTTAATATTTACCCTCTTACACCAATATATAAATTGGCTATGTCAACGTTTCGGAAACCAGGGCTGTGCTGCGTGCTGGTTACGTGTTATTCGCTCTACTGCTGCCTGTAGACTGAAGGGATCGTCTCCTCTTCCCGCCGGATGGGAAACACGGAGGGGGGAGTCAGGGGTATTAAAACAGGGTATTGCCTTTAAAGAAGAGAAGAATTTTACCTTGTCAACTATATCTTAAACTTTTAAGTATAATATTGGTTTAATTCATATTCTTATCATAAAACCATAATGTGATACACAAATAAGGTAAAAAAAAAAAGTTATAAATATACATTGTTCGTTGAAGACTATTTTGTTTCATTTATATTGTCTCAGACGCTACTTGAATCGTATTAGGTTTATGGACATGTAATTTTGTTGTACAAGATTTTTTTTTTTTTTAAATATTATGTTTAATTACGAAACTCTCTTTGCAGATAAACGAGAGATATACACGCCAAAGAATAAAGGCGAACAACCCGGATCTAGCAATACAGATTGGCAACAACTTTGGTATTCGAGCTTCGACGAATTTCAAAAACTTACCGAACCACTTTTGGACAACACAACGGATACTAACCTGACCGTACCTCTTGGCAGCACCGCATACTTGCACTGTCGCGTCAGGAATTTGGGCGAGCGAACGGTAAAGTTATACAGTGCTTACTTTAATTTACTTATTTACTTGTTTAAATCGTTTATGGCTGTTCTAGCCAATTAATCTTAAAAATGTATTTGTTGAACTAGCAAAAATGGTCAGTTTTTCATCGAGTACACATTTTACGAGACAAATGGAGCATTAAACATATTATTAATTTTTAAGCAAAAGTAATAGATACATAATATCTCGTTAAAAAATGATAGGTACGATACAATGTGTAAAAAAAAAAAAATACTTCAACGAATCGAATAATTTAATAATCAAGACAAAATTCGTTTTCGGACATTTTTGGTTGCAAAATTCTCGTTGAGAAAATCCCGTTCTAGTTTATTTTTGCGAAGAAGGGAATGTGGATATATTCAAATATATACCAGTGTGGCTCCGAATTGTTGTATGCGCAGTGTCGTTAGAAACCTTGTAACAGTTTCTAACCGTGTCGCATAACATTATACAACAATGACAAACATACGTATGTGAGGTCCATAAATGACATGACACATCTGACCATTTAATTAGGCTAAGTGGCTCCTACCTATCGCCGGGAGCCACGGGGACACGGGTGGATTATGGCAATGGACCGTCGTTCTCTTAATCAAAACATACTCACCCAAGCTAAATTGCCGGAGACAAGGACGAAGATAGGGGCCAGAGATAGAATGGGTTTGTTCGAACATTCTAGTCACGTGCTATTCTAGTGCCGCGGACGGACGATATGCGTTTATACATCTCTCGGGTCGTTGTCGTTCGTTTTCGACATAATGATGTCCGGAAAAGAGAGATGCCATTGGCCGAAATTAAATTCCGCCTGACGCTGTTGCTGCCATGCCGCGTTTCCGGCCACCCGTTCTCCGCCTCTCCGCCTCATTTCCCATGTCGAGTATCCTAAAATGGACTCGGTAACTGTTTTATCAGGATAATAAACGAAATCGTGTATCCCTGTTGAAAATTTACAGAACTTTTAGCCGTTTTCCTTCTACCTCTGCGATTTAATCTAAAGTTGCTGACTAAAAAAAAAATGTATAATAATAAGTGGGATGATTCAAAAGTTCGTTTGTCTTTGCCGTTTTGATCCATTAAAATGTTTATATATGATTTTAATCATTTTTTTCTGATCTATTGTAGAAATAATGTCTTATGTAAGTATATCAGATTTCTTCGCAATTAATTGAGGAATAGGAAGTTAAAAATATTTTCATCCCTTAAAAAAATAATTTTAGGGTTTTATATAATTTTTTAGGGTATTATTAAGAGTTAATTTATCAACGATGCCATACATTTTACATCCTAAGGCCTAAATTAGTTTAATAATTGGGTTTTTTTCTACCGATGATTTTGTATACAACCATTGATATTTATACCCTAAAAAAATAAAAACTAAGAAACAACCATTTTTTTTTTTTTAAAACTGATGCTCGCAGCCTGTAAACATAATTTTAAAAATCTGAAAAATAGGGAAATATTTGTTTTATCCCAAGAAACATTATGTCAATAAAAGAACGGAAAAATATATAAAACAATTTTGAACCGCCCTAATATATATTTATATAAATGTATTTTTTTTTTCAAAACACATCAACGTATCTATAGTCCAAGAAAATAAATAGTAAAAATATTTTTTAGGTATTTAACACATTGTTAAAATCGTCATGATACATGAAATCCTCGTTATCATTGTATGATAAATTTATAAAATACACGATTTTCTTTTCAGATTTTGATCAGCTTTCAGTTTCTTAAAATTTATAATCTAAAAATCGTAATTGTCTCTTTTACATTTAACTTTATAATATCCATTAACAGCAATTTAAGATAATATTAGCCGTACAAATAAATGTTTTAATACGATTACGTGAACATTTTGATATATTTTGTAACGATTCCTATAATTTTACCGAGCTGATTATATTGTATTACATCATCGTAGTAGTAGTATCAAAGCAATCAGTTACATTAGCGTTAATTTTCATCAGGCGTTAAATCAATTATGATAGTGATGCATTTCCAGTATCAATCTAATTAAATTCTAACAGGAACACCAGAATAGGTAACATTAATGATCGTCTCTATTAGTATCTATCTACAGTGAATAAAATTGTTCAAATATTTGTCATCTATTATCATTTAAACGATAATAATAATGGACATTATGACATCATAATATTATTAGCTTAATATTTTTTGCCATTTTGTTCAAAATGGACAATATTATTTATCCTTTTTTTTCTTATCTTTTGAAACACTCCATCAGATTCAGTAAAAAGAAACTGCAATGAATTATTTGTCCACTATTAAAATTACTCCATTGTTTGTGACAGAACATGACTTATGATGTCGGCGAAAATGTTAGGCACTTTGCACGCAATGTGAATTTCTGTACGTCATTATCTTTAATAAATGTCCCCTTCGTTCATTATCAAAAATGTACACCTCTGTCATTACAATAATTTGTATTTTACTAATGAAAACCCATTTGCGATTGCTTTTTATTGTGCTATTGTTTTAATATTCATCAAAGCGGAACGTCTAAGAACACGAAAAATAATCATAATAATGATAAAAGATAATACAATGATTGTAGTTGGGTAAACAAATTGTATGTTCAGTTATCCGATGAACTTAAGAACTCAATAAGTATAATATAACAATGCTATAACGTTCATATGCCATGAACTCGTGAAATAGGGTTTAATAGGTAGGTTAACTGTAAACAAATAGGACCAATGTGAACGCATTTCTTTGATTGTAAAAATACACAATTTTTGAGTAATTTATTGTATTTTATAGCAACATCTAAAAATTATTAAAAGCTCTCAATAATTACGATTAAGAAATGTAAATTTGGCATGTTTGTGTACAATCACCCCCATTTGACCCTTCCATAGAAAATTACAGGTTTAAGTCGTGTAGAAAGTTTTTTATCTATTTATTTAATTAAACATAATATATTGACGCCATATAAAATGTTCACTGTTTCTGTAAATTAAGTGCCCGCTATCTAATTCGTAAACTCTCATTATAAAAATTAAAAAAAGTACATAGTCATTTGCATGAGTTTTTAAGATGTTAAGCCATCGTTTACTCAACCTAAGTTTTAAAAATACAATCTTTTTAAGTAAAAAACTCTAATACTTAATTAAAAATCAAAACAAATAGGGTAATGTAAAACGTCCAAATTATTATGTCGAAATTAACCACCCCAACAACTAAATAATACGAAATGAAATAATAATATCAATGGAGAAATAGTATATGTATCTATTCTTAATTATGACCTTAAAATATTATATTTAGTAGTTTTTTCTATAAAAAAATTAATATTTTCTAAATATATCTTTTATAAAGTTTAGATGTTACATTGAATTTTAGGTTTCTTTTATTTAACTATAATGGAAACTATAATAACTTTTGCTTTTAATTATTGAATTGGTAAACATTGTGCATCCTTAAACATATAAGAAATTGATAAAAAGGTATGATTTAATGTAAAAAAAATTATAAGAATTAGCTATAAAAAATATACTTTATAGTTAGGAAAGTTAAAATAGCTAGATATACATAAATGGTTATAAGTAATAATAAAGGCTTTTTAAATTCTATTTCTAAAGAAGTCGTTAAAGAAATTATTTAATATTTTGATTTATGTGTAGGTGTTCCTTTTGAATTTTTACATTCACGGCTGAGGTATTTTTATATTATAACTGAGGTGTGAAATAAATCAAACTCGACCATTAAAATATTATTTGCGTGACTAAAATAACGTTTCTGTGAAATCCTGATAACGTCTCACATTTCAACTGTACTGTTTTTTTTAACACAAGTCTTGTACACTTTGTCAAAGTAGAAGTTAAAAAGCTAGTTTTTGACTTATACAAATAATATTATTATCCTAATTTCAAGAAAATATAAAATAACGTTTCAAGCAATTTATACTAATATCAAACACCAATAAAACTACATTATTATATACAATATACAATTTAAAATATTGAACTTTAAAAGTAAAAATGTAAGTGTACGGTGTAGCATTTAATTGAAATAAATGAATATTAAACTAAATTAATAATATTCTATATTTAACTTAAGTTTTCGAAGCTAACATAACAAGTATAAAATAACTATAGAGCTCAGAACATTTTTCTGTATATTACATTATAAAACTTTGTTGTCTTAACCTACTCTTTTAACAACGAAGTCATTTTCTATTGATAGGTATTGATAATAAGTGCTTGTTTTATAGCTCAAAATAATTAAAATTATATTTGTGTAGTACGTATTGTTTTTTTTGTGTTAGTAAGTAAAAATATTTGCACTTCTTCGATTAGGTAAAGTGAAATAGTTGATTTATAATGAACTACTTTTTTAAAGAAACAACCGAATTCTATGCAACAGTGGGTCAAGTTAAAAAACAACTATTTTAGAATAAAAACATTTGAATTGTATGAAACATTCGATTAAGCTATACAATTATATATATTTACAGTTTTATAATAAATATGTTACTCAAAAATATGTTTACAGTTATATTGTATATAATTATTTTAATAATTTAACGTAAGTCATCATAGACATATACATATTTGAGATTAAATCACTCTAGAGCATCACGTTTAAAATTCAAACTAAATAAGTCGATTGACTCATTGTAGAACGTCACTTAACCTCAACGATACATTTGGCAAAAATTATTAATTGGTATTGTCATTATTGTGTAAAGGTAGGTATAGGTATAGCTTGATTTTGTCAAACATATTTTTCTGTGTAAAAACAGTATTATAAACAGCACAAACGGCATTGAGCAAACGTGTCAAATACTGTCTCGATGCGATGATTTTTATATTATATTATAACAAACAAAAAAGGGGGGTTTTATTTCAAATCATTTTGGTTCCTCGGTTTCGAAGGACGTTCACACGTATTCAAATCCAAATATGTACACTTACAGTATGGAGATATATTATGCACTCAAAAGACAACATTACAACGAAACGAATAGAAACTACGTAGTAGAATACACAGGTTTTGCTTGTAAGGCGTATATATTATTTTGCATTACAGTAGACTTATACATTATGTGTACATAAAAATAAATGTATGTTTTATTTGTACATTTTTCTTAACCGTGCGCGTTTGAGACGGCGTTGTCACCAAAGAGTTCATCATAAATATGATTTGCTTCGGTGCTCGCCTGTCCTAAGTCCTTATTGTTTTCAATGTAAACCGATTTATTTATACCAACCCAATGCCGATTCCTTATATGTGTCTTGATAGCCCTCATAAAGACAACGTCTGTCCCGATCGTCAACTGTAAAGAAATTTCTCAAACGGTTGCACCGGATTACATCAATGCGATAAACATGCGTTTGCCAATGTGCTATAGCCCAAAGATTTTCAAGTTAACACTGTTGTATCAAACAGAGAATCAAAATGATAACAACACGGTGATAGAAGAATTGAAGCGAGGAAGAGTGACGAAAGAGGTTATAAAGAGAAAAGGTATATGTGTTTATGTGAGTCAACGAGAAAAAGAAATACCGAAGCAAATCGAATATTGTAATGGCGGCGCCTCGGAATAAATCGTTTGTCTGGCTTTGTTTTTTTAGCAACACATGGTTGCAAAAAAAAAAATAGTAGGCGAAAAACAAAATTCAAGATATTTGTTTATCGCTGCTGTTTTATTCATGGCCATTTATACAATCGACACTATTTTATTTCGATCCTACCACGCTCACTTCTCTTGCAGAATATTTTTTTACATTTTGACAATAATTAAGAAATGTTGATTTACTTATTTTTATATTAATTAATTATTAATAATAATTCAATTGTTGCATAACAAGTAGGTGTATAATGTAAAATCATCAAACTGCATCCGTTTACACCACTGGGATCGACGTATTTGTCACCAAAGGTTCGAAATGCATTCTGTCCCAAATTTACTTTTTCAGCCTTTACTAAAAAAAATAGTGTTTATATTATTAAAACATGTAGTTAGTTTAAATTATGAAACCTCCTTTGGATCTTACAAATAAAACTAAAATTTGGTACAAAATTAATTAAACAATTACGAGTATACCTTTTTATAAAATATAACGTCATACCTCGTATGGAAAAAACGGAAAACTATCTTTAATGATAATTTTTGTTTGTCCAAAACAAATTATTGAAACAGTTCGATTAGTTTTGGCGGAAAGAAAAACTTTTAAAGTAAAAACTTTTTTTTTCTGTAATTACGAGCGAAAGAAGAATATAGCAACTATTCTAGACTCATTTCCTTTAATAAAGAATAATAAGAACTAAAGATTGTTTTAGTAGATCCAAAAATGTAGCATAGTATTAATTTTAATATTTTTTTTGCAAATTCTAAATGAAAGCTCGTTGCCAATTTATTAGCACATAACTTCCTCAAAATCAAATTGATCAGATTTAGCTATGTATTTTGATGAATTAATATCTCAGAGTAACCTGAAAAAAAAATCAGTGTCAGTAGCTTACTTACAACAGCTATTACACTTTATTTATGTGATAGAGATAGTTTAGATATTAAAGTGTGATCATTTTTTAAATATTCAAATTCGACTTGTTCCACACCTATTTACCATACTACCGAAGAGGCTTTGTTTAGTTATAAAATATATAAAATAACAGTAAACCCGTCAATGAACTAATATTATATAAAAAACATTTTTTTTCGATTCAGAAGTATTCATTAAATCCATAATAAGAATAGATGAACAAAGAAAAACAAATGCTTACCGACACTGCGTATGGCGCCATACACCCTTTGGTAAATCCTAGTATTAACTACTATTTGCAGTAGGTAACGTTTCGTTTTTATTATACAGAAAACAACTCATTCCCTGATCAGCTACAGCTCTGTTTAGAAACGAAAAAATCAACGAATATCCATATTCACCAACGGGCTAATCAATATCAATCGATACTAGGAAGTAAGCCCGAAACGGTCTTAACCGTTAACAATTTACATTCTTATCAAAATATATTTATATACTAGAGGCACCGCATAATAGCTTATTTGCTTTCTTAGAGCTTAGAAGCCTTGACAGATAAGCGAAAACGTGCAGTCACGCGCACGGTAGCCTTAAAATATTCATCCTGCACTCGTAGTATTCATATAATATTCGTGACGGGCAAGCATTAAAATAATCATAAGCCACAACGATACCCGTAATCTGTCGATGGATAAAATAAGGGGGAAAAAAAGACTAATGTAACATATTTTGTTGTACCTATAAAGTTCATTCATGGTATTATCGCTATGAATCGCCACGATTCCCTAATGATACCAAGACGGCAGTTATGATGTTATTATTTAACGAAAGGCACCCGCCAAACGGTAACGGATCGTGTCACGTTATAATAAAGAGCAAGAAAAAAAAATCGCACAAGATAGATAAAAAAAAATGTTCACGCGATGTTAAAAACATTTTGTCTTATCGATCGAAATTGTTATTATACAGAAATGTTGCGCACGAACGATACCAAAAATCATCAGTATGTTAAAATATACGTTTAATTAACAGAAGATATCTTAAATGTTTGAATATAATGATTTATGATTGACTACTTGAATACCTCTGAGAACACAATGTATTTGGCGGCGCGGCAATGCTTTAACTTGACGAATAAAACAACAATGAAACGTTATTCCTCCATCGAGTCACGGTACGGCGAATGTTTTTGTCAATTATCAATATTATCTTTGTGGTTAGATTTGCATTAAATTAAATCGATCCAGAATTCTGGTTAAATAGTTTCGACTGTCGTGGCTCTAGAAATTGTAATTAAACACATCCAGTAAAATAATTACATTTTCGGATAAACTGTGGAATTAATGCGATTAATACGATAAACGCATACTTATTGGATGCACATTATTTGTTATAATTTTGATGTTTCAACTGCAGCGTTGCTCGATGCGAATTTTGAACACGTTTTAATATTTTCATGCCAGATAAATTGGAGTAGCAAAGGTCTAGTTGCCATGGCGTCGAGTATAAAGATCCTGCCTAGGCCAATAGCTATAATGTACTGTTATCACACTATATGTATATCTTATTCGAATAATGAAATGGATAATGATATATTTAAATATATAATATACTTGTAACTGGATACCAGTTTACATTATCAACATTAAGATTCGGATGATCCGATTTTCACCGATCGCCTTAATTTTGTTTTTTCTTCAAAACTTATACTCTAAATTGGTTTTATTTTTTCAGATATCTTGGGTCCGCCGCAGGGACTGGCACATACTGACGTCAGGTATGTTTACCTACACTAACGACGAGAGGTTTACAGTATTGCACGCCGAGGGATCCGATGACTGGACCCTGCAAATCAAATACGTACAGAAAAGGGACAACGGCACGTACGAGTGTCAGGTGAGTAATAAGCGGATACGTCTTCTTGTGGCGAATATTTATTGGAAACTAAACGGATGGAGACGACCAACAACGTTGGCAATGCCAAAAGGGTGATAGGGCGTTTAAGGATACCAGCGTCGGGATGACAATATTGTCATAAAATGTAGAGCAAGATGATTGAATTGATGCGTTTGGCGCGACGAAAGTGTGAAAATACAAAGTGTTCAACCCAACGGCGTGTGTTTTATACTGTGTGGAGATATTCTTTATCGAACGCGATAGTAAGACTTCGATTCCCAAACGGCCAGTGACGTGTCTACCAGGTGTGAGGAGAATTCCAAAACTCGAGCAGGATATGGTTTCGCATACAAAATGTTTAAAAACAAAATTAATACATTCCGTTGGGTACTCCGTATAATATATTATAGTAATGGCAAACACCATATTTTCCAATGGAAAATCTTCTAGATCACGGTTATCTCTTATTAAAAAATAATAAGTAAGAAAAGTACAAAATGTATACATATATGTATGCCAGTTTGAGTGGATTTCGAAAAATCCAACTTGGTTCTCTCGCTTTCTGTTAGATATACATATAAACAACGAGAGCGCAGACGAGAAAAGAGATTCTGATTTGGATTTTGTAAATTAAGGTTCGAAGCTCGAATGTTTGTGATTCTATATAATTTAGTATTTTATTTATTTTAAAATATACAAAAACCTTCAGTAAATAGAATAAATTCATTTATCATAATTTATTCATAAATGTCTTCATCGTTAAAATAATTATAAATTATAACTTATTAATATTCGTTCGGATGGCAATATTGTACGACTTTATACAATTTACTGTTACTACTAAACTTGCATGATGTTTATATTATTACACTAATAATTATTTTATATTTAAATATTTCTTATCTTATTACACTGTCTGTATTATAGCAAATTTCACGATAATACTTTAAAATAACGAATTTAAGACTTTTTATATTTACTCTTGACTTAAATCTTCGAAACTCCTGAACCAACAATATGTTTAAATTGGTATTTTTTTTATCACACGATATCCCAGGATCGTCTCCTATTGTAAAAAAAGGATAACCTGATTTGATCTACACAAAGTGATAATAAAAGTGTTTTAAAAACGAAATACTTTTAAATTGGTTGAAGTTTGTGTAGGGTTTTTTTTAGAAATTTTACATGGTTTACGGTTACACCTACAAGGCAAAACTAGTTTGTAAAATATATAGGTGAACCGTGAACCATGTAAATATAACAAAATACTTTTTGGCCAAATTTTTACTTTTCACAAACAACATCAAATTATAAAAGGCTATCAATTATAATGTATAACCTAACCGATATTCCGTATTACATAATGGATAACAATTTAAAGACACAATTGACTTTCAGTTTTTAACTATTATTTTTAATTACTATTAAAAGCAATTATACACAATCGCTATCAGTTTTACGTTGTCAATAAATAATATGCCACTACTTCACTTATATTATTTACGAATTGTGAATTTGTATGTTATATAAAACAAACGACAGAGTTTTCCGAAGTAACCATAGCCACTATTGAAATTAAAAATTTAAAAAGAAACATCAAAGGTATTCATACCGTATATAAATGTATGCTGAAGTTCATCAAGCAGCTAATATTTCCAAAAATTTGACTAATATATGCAAAATTTATTTCAGTGTCAAATTGAAAGACTTTTCTCATTAATTTTTCCTTTGTAACCACAGCTGACGTTTTTATTACACGATGTACTCGTCTTTCGTTTAAATATAATATCAACATTATATCTTGTAATATAATAAACATGTATCGTATTTAAAAGTATACCATTTCAAAGGTCTACGTATTATTAGGATATTCTGTCGAGGACGATATTTTCAAAGATATATTATTGATATCCAATTTTTGTGTTATATTAAGGTAATATCGAAAGGCTTAAAAATTGAATATCATGTAAGTATATTCTATATTGTCCATACAAGCTACAATATATCGATACGAGTAATACATGTATTCGACAACTTCAATTTCAAAATAAAAATAAAGTTTTGATGTAATAATATTATGTTGCGACCAAATTATACACACGGCGCCAGAGTAAATAATATGGAAACACGATACTAAATAGATTTAGGTTTTTTTTTTTTAATCCGCATAATATATAGTTGGGCGAATAATAATATGTTTACTCGTGTGCGCTGTACTCGAACAAAAGCGAACTTCAAATTTTTGTGAAATATTTGAGAAAAAGCTTGTGTTACTGTAGGTATAATATAATGGGCCACGTTTTGTATTTCGTTCACGGTTCCTTGCTCGGGGTTTCCGTGCTATTTTTTACGTTCTTTCCCAAACTAGTTCAAATCATGCGTGAAAAGTATCGAGCACATTTAAAAGTTTTCTGTAGTTTTGTGCGCCAGAGTGAAAAGATATTGTACGAGGGATAAAAAAGAGAAAAAAATTAGAGTTTCGATGTCGGAACGGGTCGTGTCGGAAGAGAATATTTTGTCGAACACCTTAATATGGCAGAGAGAAAAAAAAATCTTGAAATTCAATCCAAGTTAGTTAGTATCACGTTAGTTCGGATAGCCGAAAACCTAAACGGAAGACGTTCCAATAAATACACGGCTACTTTTTCGTCAACACTTTGAATATTTACTACCATCTTGTGTAGTTTATAACATTAACAATATTATTCCATATATTATTAATAATAATTAATATAAACTTTTAAACGCGATTAGACATATTATGCATTGTAAGCGAAAATCATTAAAATGTATTCTTGATGTGTATTATAAAATATAGTAGTTTTCTTGAAAATGTCATCACTTAATTTATAATATAAATGTTATTACTTTTTTAAATGAAAACAAAATTAATCGCTTCGAAGTTAAATTTGAAGTCAGCATTATTTTTAAAAGAACTCTTATTTTTTGATTTTTATTAGCTTTCCTGTCAAATTAAAAAAATTACTTATTTAATACCTTTTAACTTTCAAAATACATTAGTTTTTAATTACGTCAACAGCTACTTAGTTCACCTATTAAGATATATTAAGGCAATTGGGTTTAATGCAGTTAGTGTTGCCTAAGTTATAATATTAAATTAATTTAGATAGAAAGTATACTATTTATTAATTATATAATATTATGCGGCATGGTATCTTAAGGATTTTATTTCCTAATATTATAATTATATGACAATTTACCACAATAAATATAATTTATATCATTTTAAATCTGAAAAAGCTTTTAAAAAGATGTAAGATAAAATGATTGTTTAAAAAAAGAGTATTAATATATATTATTGAAATTATTTGCAATCGATGATCCTGATGCTATTTCATACTAATAAAAATAAAATTAATACTTAACTATAACTACCATTATAAAGCTTTTTAAGTGTTTAACATTGTTCCAAAGCTCTACAGTTTAATCCAATATCGTTAGACAATTATTTGCATTTCAGTACAAACGTTTTAAGTATCACATAATGTATAAGTATTTTTTCCAGAAATTGAATTAAGCCAATAACTTATTTTTATTGTATTATAGGTAATACGAATTACCAGATTTTTCTCAAGGATGAATAAATAATTTTGCCATTTAGTTTGTAATGTGGTATGCACCAGTAAGTTTTCTAGTTGTGTGTTGGTTTTAATTTAATAAATTAACTAGGTATAGAATTTTCTTTCAGAGCCATTTGTTTTAACAATTAAACACTTTCAAAATTATGACCATTTTTGTACCAATGGGGAGTTTAGTTTTTTCTTTAATCGAACTTAACCTTTTTGCCTTAGTTAAAACTAGATTAGAAATTTTATTGGTATAGAGGAGCTATATATTGTAATTGGAATTCCGAAACCCATTGACAAAGTGTATATTAGTAAGATTAAATGTATGTTATTTTTATCAATAATCGTTTTTTTCACATGTAAATAAAAAAAAATACATATATCGTATCAATATTTTAAAAAAACTATGTTCTTTTATCGGAAGTATTTAAGCCAAAGTTCAATTTAGAAAGACATACTTTTTACTTATTCACACAAAATATTTATGCTTAATCAACCTCCAAAATGTATATATATATATATACTTATACATCAAAGCAAATAGTGTAATATAACCCTAATTTCAAAAATATATACCATTGTTCGTGAAGATGGAAACTACTTTAGTTTCTAAAAAAAAACATTTGAATAACGAATTCAGCGAACAACACTTTCGACTCCTTAGCTATGGAAATAGCCACCGAATTACCATAACGTATAATCTGGGCCATAATATTTTGGACCAACGTTCGGGGTAAAAATTCACAAAAAGTTGTAATCCCAAAGGGTCACATTAACCAATCCGTTGTCCGTCCACCGCTACGCCGTTACACTTCGGTCGAGTCTTACCTGCCACCTCCTAAGAAATCTGGAAAGCGACTAGTAATTTCGGTAAAACGTCCAGTAACCTTCCGCCGTCCTTGTGCCACTCGCTCCTCGGTCTCCCCGTTCACTCCATCTTCAAGCCATTTTTGATCCTTTGAATATAAATGCGCAGGGTACACCACTCGCTCTATCTATGTCTCTCTCTTACTTTTTTTTATCTCCACTCTTGGTTAGTGTAGAGTGTTGGCGTGCGAAAACCGACGGTTGCCCGGCCGTTAGTATAATTAATCGCCTTACAGCCACTGCGTTCAGTGTTATTGCCCGTGGGATTTTTCATAATGTCCGTGTAGTATTTTCGCCGTCGCTCGACTTCTAAAAACCCTTTGACTTGAGCGACGTCTGTTAGTATGTTGACCTTTTAAAGTTATTTGAGAAATCCAAAAACGGCCGTAACTATCTCGCACTGTTAAATGGCGTGCTATAAAATATATGAATATACTTTGAAATTTGATTTTGTTTTTCTCTCCCCTAAGAAATTAAAACAACCCGTTGTCGTGCCGTTGCCGTTGAAACCCACGGTGCTCGAGAAGTACCTAGAGAAAATTGCATTTAATAGTCGACCACTTGGAAAGTGTCTTTAATGTATGAAGTGGTTCAAACGAGCTAATTCACAAGAACACGTAAAAACCGTTCTCACTTTTCTTGTGTTTTACATAGGTTAACAGTGATGACGTAACGACTAAGATCAGTCAAATATAACATTTAAATCTTAATAAACGTAAATCGATTTATCGGCAAATAATAACAATAATATTAAATACTATATAAATTATCTTATTAATCATTAGATCCAAGTAAGTTTAGTTAAGTATATTCTTAAGTTAATTTGTATAAAAATTTTAAACGTACTATTATATACGTTTGTTTCAATAGCATTATGGCAGGTATAGAACAAAACATTGTCAAATATAAACTTAGATTTCTCAAAAACTTCACATAAATCAAATATCAACATTTTTTAATTTGTATAGAAAAAATTGATAACGTTAAAATTTGAAAGCTTTTTGAAAAAACTTATTGTAATAAGTCTTGAATCGACCACCAAAGAGAGCTCGTGTACCTTTTACAATAATAAGGAATCACTGCCTACAAAACGAATACTGTCACTACCCACTTTACCATTTACTTGAGCTGTAACTTACCAGATATAAGGTATTGTTTGTTTAAAAAAAAAACAGTAGATTTTAAAACCATATTTTTAATATTTTCCATCCAATAATGACGTTGATAAATAAAAATTAATTTCCTCTTCTGACATTCAATATTTTTTTTTTTGCTTTTTTCTCTAAATAACAAATAAAAAACCGTCTTTGCTTTCTGGTTATTATAACAACGTAATCAACATCTTAAAAAATAAATAAATTACTACTCAATCCGACTAACCAAACAAAGATTTTATAACAAAATGTTTTTTATTATTTAACATTTAATTTAAAAAAAACGTCATCGTAAGGTATCTTAATTACCCGTTCCAAATATTTGCTATTTGGCTGGTCTATTACGTCCTAAAAAAATCAAAGAAAATTATTTTGATACATAACAAAATCTATAGTTACACTCGATTAAGACAAAATTTGGTTTAGAGTCATTGCAGTTACTTTTATATATTACATATAAACTGCACTTTATTGAAAATTGATAATTGATAATTTATTAATTTGAACAAATCAATATAATATTTTGAATTAAACAAGTTGATTGATATCTATCTCTTAAAATATTAATAACAGTATGAAATTAATGCTTAAAAAGTTTAAAATACATATATATATATAGCACTTTGCAAAACGAAAAACATTTTAATGTGTTTTGTGACATCATTTAAATTGAAATTTGTATGCGCTAAAAAGTTGATAAAATTAACTACATGGATTTCAAGTATAAAATTCATTTTTTGAATTTTAAAATAGTGTTGTATAAATATTTTTAAGAAACATAAGCTTCAATTTACTTCTAACGTGAAATCTAAAGAATATCTGAACAAATATTTTAATTTTTATAGTTTAAAAGACAATGTTCAATTTCTAAAAGAATATATAAAAGCCCTTAGGTGTTAATCACGTAAAAAATATCGCATCGAAGCTAGAAAAAATATGTTGAGGGTTTTTATCTTATTCAATATAAATATTTTTTTTCTATGCTTACAATGCTTTAAAAAACTATGTTTCAATCAAACGAATTCAATACAACATTATGACAGATAAAAGTTTAAGAGTGATTATTGAACATTAAATTGAATAGCGACATTTTTTTATTTTTAATAGATAAAACTTGGATGAGCATAGTCTAGAAAATTAATCTTTTTTCCAACCCAAAAAAAAAACGAACCGAATTAAAGGTATTCTTTGTGCGTGTGCACATAACATCTGCTGGGAACTCATAACGTTATGGTTCACGCCCAAAGTGTATGCATTGTAACGGTGCTTGCGGAGATAGTGGCGGGTAATAGGTAGTTGTGGGATATGCTTAATACGCATATAGCGTGCTGTGGGACGAATAAATTTATGCCGAGAAGAGCAGACTTATTCATTAGCACAATGCCAGCAAGGTTTAAAAGGCAAATTAGGTGTTCCATTGGTTTCGCACATATTATTATTATTGAATTGAGGTGTTGTCAGACTTAATAATGCAGACCCAATAAAAACAAGTGTTCACATTGTGTGCTTTCATATTATGAATTATTGTTGTATATATAATCGTTTTCATTTTTGACCATTAAAAATTGCATATTATAGTATGTAACCAAATATATTAATACCCAATGTGAAAAAACAGTAGGTCAGGGTACATTTTTAACACGTCAAAATTTAAAGTCTACGTTTTTAAATTAATTTGTTTTAGAAAGGTTTCATTTAAATTATGTTTTATGAGCAACAACTAATAAACCTCAACATATTAATAAAAATTTTATTTTAGAATTCTAAAGACGAAATTATAAAATGCTCTCGATTTTAGGTTTACAGCATTTGAAACTAAAATATTTAAATGAATTTCAATCCAAACTTTGGAGAAATTGCCCAAAAATTTGTTTAACGTGATTTTCATAATTTCTCTTATTGTTGCTTATAAAAATGTATTTTTATTTATTTTTACAGCTAATAAAAACGAATAATATAATTACCAATCCAGTTTTAAAGTGTTAAAATATCATTAACAAATTACTCTACAGTATAAAAATTATTCAATTAACATATTAATTTTTATTTTTTGATATAAGTTTTCTGTAAACAATTTTAATAAAAATACCACTATTATTCTTTATTGTTAATTTCAATTTTTTTTAGATATCCACTGGAACTGGAATAATGTCTTCGTTTATAAACTTACACATAGTTGTACCAGAAGTTCACATTGATGGACCAAGTGAACTTCATGTTGACACGGGAAGCATAATAAATCTTCTTTGCATTATCGAAAAAGTAAGTTCTAAAGAAACCAACAATAATACCGATCATATGTGTTTAAGCTTTAACTAACTTTAGGATTATTCCTTAAGCTAAATTTCTGAGTTTTCCAAGTAAACCTAATATTCAATTATTGGTTAGAGTTTTAATATTATAGAAGGACGTTACACTGTTATTAGTATTATTATTATTGACAGTTACAATATAAATAATAATATTATCTATATTAACATTACAACAGTTTAAAAAAATGGTATTAAGTATTATTCTGTTCTAACGCAAATAAACAAAAGTTCTACACAATTCTGTACCTAAATTGCATACCCAATGCGCCGTTTTACATTACATATGGAAAAAAAAACAAAATGTTGTGGCCATAACAAACCTAAAAATTATACATGATATACAGGAAATAGTTTGTATACTACATGTTATAAAATCGGAATATATTTATAAAAAAAAAAACTTTATTTTAAACAATGGTGTTTTGTACTATCATACAAATCCCATAGTATAATAATATTTTAATAGCCTGTCATATTGAAATGACAAATCATTGCTGTAGTCTGTAAAGGTATAAACCTGAAAAATAGTTTCGCTTTTTTTATAATAAAAAGTACGAAAAATTAAAGTTGAATATATTTTTTATTGCAAACGATATTTATAACATTTTCACAGTCACTTTTTTGAAACATCATCTTTAAAAATCACACAGATTAAGTTAAACAAGTATTTTTTTTTTTTTGTCAATACCTTGTACTTTTTTCCACCAACTAATTTTTTAACAGTATAAACATCGTGGAGCGTTTTTAGTTTTCTTTTAATAGTTGTCAATCGACATATCTTGTGATTAATTTGGTCATTATTTTAGTTTTTCTATTCAATATACCATAAGAGTGACAAAGAAAACAATAATTCATTTATGGGAAGGAGCCTCTACACTAGAACTCATTAAAGCGTATTACATAGACAATTTTCATTAAAACTTAACATTCAACTAAAATGTTTAAACGCATATATAGTATAGAAAAGAGGCGTCTATTTTATTTCAACTTTTTAATGTAATCAGGACAGTAAAAAAACATGTATTTATACTTATAACAGTATAAGTTCTTAAATATTCAGATTTTAGTTTTGAAAAAATATTTAATCTCTCCATAACATTTACAAGGTATGATACACTTTTGAAATTACTTTTAGTTATTTAAATAATGTTATTTAAAAAGTTTTTAACCATTTTTACAATAAGTTACATTTTACAAAAATACTAATTAAGTATTGACGGTTAATGGCTAAATTTAGAATAGGATGTTTTTCGGTCTACTATACAAATTTACACAGGTACCTTGACTACAAAAAGGCATTAGTTTTAATACAAAACTGTTAGTTTTTATTTTATTGAATCAAAATAAAATCCTTCAGATTAGCTCGCATTAACCACGTACCATTTCTATTTTGCTTAAAGAGTCCTCAGCCTCCACAGTATGTATTTTGGTATCACGACCGAAAAATGATTAACTACGACAACAGCAGAGGAGGCATAGTGGTAAATGCTGAAAACGGTGGTCGTAGTACAAGCAGACTCACCATTCACGACGTCATTGATACAGATAGTGGCAATTATACATGTCAAGCGGCCAATGCTGAACCTGCCTCTGTATATGTTTTTGTTTCTGAAGGTAACATAACATTTCTAAGATAATAACAAAACTTACCATTTGGAATTTTTTAAATAATTATTATGTGACCATAGAATATAAAATATTTTCCTTGACTTAGCACGCAAAATGGGAAGGTATATTTCACTTGTGTTAATAAAATATACACTTAAGAGAATAATCTGTAAAATAATGTTTTTAAAGGTTGTGTTTAAAATTCCAATTTCATAAAAACGAAACGGCTATACATTGGGACTAAAACTAATGACTATAAAAATAATTCATCATATTATTACATTATTTAAACTAGATTTGTCAAATTGATAGACAGCGTTAATTTGTATTATGCACAAAAAATATTACAGTAAATTTAATAAAGTATGCAGATAAAGTTAAATTTTGCAGTTTTACGTTATCCTACCGAAGAAAATAATCTAACTTATATTTTTATTTTCATATAACAGTTTAATAACATCTTTGCTATATTTTAAAAACAAACTTCTATACTTTATCTCTACCTGCATGGATAGCCTATTTTTATGACACAAACTAATTATCAATTATTTATATACTAGGTCATATTAGACGTGGTAAGGTGAACTTTATAAAATATTATTGAAATAATTTATTCTGCACTTGAAATATTCTATCAAACATATGGTTAAATATGTTGACTATAGCCTAATAAAGATTAGGTTTATTCAATTGTTTGTATTAAAATATAGCAAACAATGTTTAACTGAAATGGAATGGAATGTGTTTTAACCATCTTATATTAATAAGTTACATAGTAATAATAGTTAAATAAAATAAAAAGTCCTATTTTTACTATACATATTTCACATTTTTATTTATTCTTATTAACAATACCATATAGGTACAAGAATTTAGGTATGTTAAATTAAGATCTAACTCTAAAATGTATATCTTCGGAGTATTTTGATTATCTGAAGTTATAAAATTATATTTTTACGAGCTCCTAATAATATTTCATTTATTTATGATTCCATTTAGCTGAGTAATAAAAAATAAACTACGTTTCAGACTATATTGACAAACGAACATTCATTAAATAATTTTTATTTTATAGTATTCAACTTTTTTTTTTATATAAAATGTAACATAATAAAAAAAAAATATTTTTTAGGTGACACGATGGCTGCAATATCACGCAGAAAATCAACAGCTTCGGGCGTCGAAGTCATGTTATGGTTTGTCGCATTGCCACTGTTGGTTATATCGGTTAGATAAGTAACAACAGCTATTATTTTATTAAGTGATTTAACGATTAACCATTGATTATTACTATAATAATATTTACTTACGATGTACTTGATGATGTGTAAATATTATTACGATTTGTAATAATTGTGAAAATACTATACTTAATTATTGTTCAGTAATCTGTATAATATGCCTATTTAAGTACATTGCAATTGAAGGATTTTGTTGCAAGATACCTACGTTAAACTGTGAATACCTATACCCACATAATTGGAGCATAAACTTTATCCTATTATAAATTATTTAATTATTCACTTAAAACTCATACTTGTCTGTATGGTTACCAATGTAATTGTTTGGTGTATGAATAATATATTATTATTTGTAAATTCATTTAACGAATGTATAATTATTTAGTGATGCAATTAAGGTAATGTACAGGGTTCCAAAATGCTACAGCATTTCAAATTTTAATTTATATAAAATGCATATACCTAACTTTCTTAAAAAATAACAAAAATATTCTAGAGTGCTATTCAGATGATAACGTACCAAATACATTTTCATCTATATCAAATATATATATTATAATATTCAAACGTTATGTCTTCGTAGAGGGAAATTTAAATAAAATGTTATAGATATTTAAATTAATATTATGTTACCTTAGTAAAATATTTCACGTAGGCAAAATGTGTTGTTATAACCTAATATCTAGTAAACTATCTAAATAGGCATTTCCCTTACTAAACAAATTAAAATATGTAGGGTGAAGGAAGGTATTTTCGTGGCATAAGCAATGTCGTGATATAGTTTGTTTGATCGTATCGCGTAATTCCCTATAAGAAAATTGTCTTGAAAATTACACTGATTGTTAAAATAACTGTTATTTTAACAATCAGTGTAATTTTCAAGACAATTTTCTAATAGGGAATTACGCGATACGATCAAACAAACTATATCACGAAATTGCGTATGCCATGAAAATACCTTCCTTCACCCTATATCGTATTTTTGTTTTGAACGCATTATATTATATTAATTCAGTTTTATTATTAAAATACACAATATAATATATAATACACATTTTATACGTTTTCTTGTTTATTAACTGATGAATTGTAATTATTAAATTATAAAATATATACGATATAATATACATAATTAATTAGCTCCAACGAAAATATTAGATGATATCATAATACTTTATATTTACCAATTTGGACAGTAATTATTTTATTAAAAAAGACATTATGGAAAAAAGGTTAATGACGAAGGGAGCAAACGAGTTAAGCGATTGAGATTAATTACTCGAAACTTTAAAGATAGGGCTCAAGTGACACGGGTATTAATAAAAACTGTTGCTTTTATCTAAGAAAATAAGATACAAGTTATGATCGTAAACCTACCATAAAAATTAAACAATATTGTCATTTTGGAAAAAAAAAATTAAATTCATTTTTGTGTACAAAATAAGTTACTTTTCTACAACAAAAAACCCAAAAAGAGTTTTCTGTAAAATTTTGTAAGTATACATTGTATAGTATTTATCACTTTTTAATTATATATATATATATACTCGTATATATTCGATAATAAATTATTAAAAATGTACCTATGATGTTTAAACTGTTATTATATATACATGATTGCATACTGTAAAATTCACATTATGTTTACTTACATTAAATGTGGTTCGATGTAAATACAACATTGTTTTATAAGTATTGTTTTTTGTGGCATCTACTAAGCTGCCTTTTCAAAATGTTGAATATAATATATCAAATAAATAAAATTAAGAAAAATTTTCCAATTTCAGTGTTCTTTTTATAGATTTAAACTTAGACACACTTTGGACTTTTTAACTACCTGCAAGTTACAGCTTTGATGGTATTTTAATAGCAAATTACATTTTTGCGATAGTAACAATCTGGGTATTTTTTTTAAATATAATTATAACTCGTTTGTGTCACGATCAATCAAAGAGTGTGCACGAGCCTTCATAACAACGGAATTATTTTTTTTGTTAAAGAAAATACAGAAAGTTTAACGGAAAGATCGTTATTTTTAATATCTTTAAAAGTTGTTTTATAACCTCCGTTTCGACAACTGAATTAAAAACTATACTGTACGATCTCATGGTAAATATATATATATATAGTTCTACTACTCCTTAGTAGCAACTACTCCTACTACTCCTATACCACCGGAAATCGATGACTCATCATTCTATAAGTAAGTTGAAGTATTGTTTAGAATTAAAAAGTACTCTCCCAACCCAACCTAACCAGTAAATGAGACCGCCCGTAACCGGATTCAAACCATCGACGGAACGCGCCTAATCTATTCAACCAGTCTTCATCGTATTACAATTGTATACAACTATATTTCTATAGATTTATTTACTTCCGTTATAAAAGATAAATATAATAGTATTACAATATTATACTGTGCAAACTATAATGTAAAAAATATAATATGATGATTGTCTCCATAAGCTATGCTTATTGTGGAGATAAAAGTTTTTTTTCTTCAAATTAGGTATACAAAATATAATATGTAAAACAAATTATATTTAAGTTATAATGCAAATAAGATACTAAATTAAATATTGATAACTTGACAATTTAATTTTAAAAAAATATATATATAATATTTTTCCCTCAGTTTTTTACGCATGTTGTACAATAAGTATTCCACAACATTTAATTTTTTTTTATTTAAATAGCACAGTAACAAACGTTTAGGCGATGGCCAACAACCATCGTTAGCTCGTTAATGTATAAATGGTGAAATTACTTTTAAAATTAAATGTTTAAAACAGTTGGGATCTTAGCGTGAAATCCTTCCAGGATCTAATCATCTTCGTTATCGGAGAGTATACCGTCGTTGTCCGTGTCATGTTTTGCGAATTCAGATATCTATCAATGATCTGACACCTTAACACAATCTCCGAATCATCAAAGTAAGATTATGTACGTATTCTATTATAGTAATAATTAAATAATAGGGAAGCAATGCATAACGGCAAAGGAATTTTAAATCGCTAAAAAAAATAACATTATAATATTATATTTTCGTTTACTTTCTTAGAAAGTTCTGCCGTAACGATCATCAACTACATCAACTCTTTAGCAGCGGGTCCTGTGCCAATTTAAATTATATATAATTTAAGAAACTACAATGTATCTAACGTGAATATAGTTATATTTTATTTTTATGGTTAAATTTAAATAGCATGTGGTTACAAGAGACTCAGTAGCCATATCAAACTCTTTGAAGATGTTTTGAATTATTTAAGAATCAATGCAACGGGATTCAGTTTTATGAGTTCTATACAATCTAATGAACTCTTCGATTTGTGTTTGGTTTAGACCATTGCCCTATAACGTAAGCAAAAATGATGAATATAAGATTATATTGGCACAGGATCTCAAGTGGTTGATTTTATAAATTAATAATAATTTAAATGGTATACTTACTATTTAGACTACTCGTCTAATTCTGTACATACTTATTACTAAAATACAACGGTGGCCGTTAGAAATAACGTTGCAAAAAAAGAAAATGAACATTCCGATTATTTAAATAAAATAAAACAAAAATGATTAGTTAAATAAGTAAACTTTTAAAAATTGACCAAAAAAACTGGTTATGGTTGAAAGACGGTTTTCTTGATATTAGATATATCAAGGTTTTCTTGATATATCTAATAGCTTCGTTTATATTAATTGTTTAAAAAATTATTTTTTAATTTTTAAAGATTAACGTTGGCTCGTAAAATGGTAGAGTTATGAAATAAAAAGTATGGCGTTCATTTCTATTTTCCATTTCTATGTCATCATTTTTGCATTCGGATTTACGGGCCAACGTTATAGGATCCGGCAGTGCTGTGGATTTTTGAACTACCGCATTTGGGAGTTGAATAATGAGAGGAATATGCCTGCCGGTTGTTCGGGCTGGTCGATTATTCATTTCCATCACCTCCCTTCTCACTTCTAACTAAGTTACAGTTGACAATGCCGCTGACATAGCAAATGTTTAATACTTAGTCTCCCACTCTGATTGCTGGCAAAACTTGATCACCCATTTACACTGACATTGGTTTTTTCAAAATTAAAAACTCCGTTACTGTCACAGCGTGTCGTTGTAAGTTGACATCGCTTCTTTGGTAACAGATGCTATAAAATGCACGCAATGGAAAACTAATTTTACGCGCTTACAGCTGCAGTAAAAAAAAAATGAAATTTATTGTAACGCTTAATCGAGTGTTATAAAAAAAACTGCTTTGAATAACGAATAATTGTTTGATTGCCCCCATTGGATAAAATATATTTAAACACAACATAGTTATGGAATATACATATAAAATAAACTCAAACTGTAAGAGAAAATACACTTGTGTTAATCTCCAACACTGGGTTAATCGTCTTAAGTTTTTTAACCGCTGCCATAAAAGTAATAGATATACCATTACTAATGGTCCATTCGTTTTTTGTCAGTCTTCACAATTTGCCCAAATATAAAAATTCGATAACAGTGATGAATTTAAAAATAGCTAGTACAGTAATAAGAAATTATAAGTATATAGTTAAAAATTGAAGGCAAGTATACTTACTACTGTTATACATATTTTATATTAAAAAAATTAATGTTGTGTAACTCAGTATCTTTTTAAAAAATATTTTTTCCATCTCCTATTTTTTAAGCCCTCCCTTCACCCAATATTTACCTTTTTACGTGTTTTCTTTAAACTTTTATATTTAATAATTTTGTTTCATCTTTCTCTTTTATCTATTTGCCCGTTTCATCAATTGCTCTACTTTTATATTCCTTGCCTCAACTTTCCATCTATCTTTTTAATTTTTCTACATCCACTTATAACGGATAAAGAATGATTAATTAATCTTAAAAACATTATTAAATGTAGTCACTATTGTCTTCTTTATTACCAGAGTAGTTTTTTGTCTGACGATGATTGGATAAGGGAATGATGTATAGCCTATAATGTTACCATTGTGATAAGGAAGACAACAATAAAAGTCTGGGGAAAAGTCGAATGAGCCTTTTTTCGCTTTGTGTGAACAAACTGTTAAATCTAGTCCATAGTACTAGGAGAATTGGCGCTCACTTAGCTAGATACCATTAACTTGTTTTGTATTACTTAAATAGACTCACTACTTATGTTTAGTAGCTAATACTAACAAACTAACACTAATAAAACAACTAATGACTAATGTCTATTTTAAAACAGCACTATAGAAAATAAAATAAAAATGTTATATCATCGTATGGCAAATTTGAACTATTCATTCATGATGCCAAGTTATTATATTATTTTTAAGCTTTAATACTAATATATTGTTATACGTATGTTACAAATAACTAACCAATTAAACACATTACTGTGTTATTCAGAACATTATTTTATAATATATTCTGTCGAGTTGGCTGAACCTTTATTATAGGTTTAATAAATCAATAGACATTTAATGGATCCTTAACCATTATTTCGTGGCCTTATTAAGGCATTACATTTTAATGAACGATTAAATTTTTTTTATATATAACTAGTATTGTCCTATTTAACCCCTCCAAAGAAAATAGGTCATCTCCTTCAGGCCTTTTTCAAACTGCGTACTATAGTAATGGCACAACGAAGTTCGAAGAGTACCATCAAGTAAAATGTTCCATTGCGATTTTGTGCACACAAAATATTGTCACATAAAGGCTTACCATACAACATATGATAAAACACCATATACATTGTGATAAAACACAAATTTATAAGACTAACTATAATATTATAGAAAAAAAACGGTGAAATAAAACAACTAAATTTTTTTTTAGAACACATTAT